CAAGTGGTGGCATGAGCCTCTGCTGCTGTGTTTGGGGACCGTTGAGGTACAGGAAACGTTGGTACCCAGGATAGTTACAGCTACAGTTCAGAACGATCCCCCATTCACTTTCGGCTACGGGCTCCGTTTTCCTCCCCCATTGGAGAGGCTCAGGCATGTCAATAGGACTGGTTATGGATTCAAGGGGCGGGCCAGTGGGCTTCAGGAGTACTTAGAGTCCTATTGCATGCATGCGTCTGCGACGGTGGCCAGGTGGGCTACTCACTTCGCTCCCCGGCTCAGAACTGCTTCGTCCCCCATGCCGGTTGTCTGCAGCACTGTCTTCATGGTGCGGATCTTGCCCCCACCATAAAGGGCTTGGTTCCAGGCGTGCCAGGGCAGCGTAGTGGCCAGGCTTTCCAGGTTTTCTGCGTCCCCCCCCGGGTCTTTGTCGTCCTCGTACTGGTCGAGCTCTCCCCCAGCGCCTTGGTCGTCCTCGTACTGGTCGAGCTGTGTCTGGGCCGCCTGCTGAATGGCTTCCTCCAGGTTGTCCGTGATCTGTGCTTGCGCCTGGGACTCCATGGCTCCCACCAGGCCCAGCCATTGGCCCGGTTGCACTGCTCCCCCGTCTTGGTTGGCCACAAGCTGCAAAGCATCGCATGCTTGGTCTTGAAGGCCCCCTTCCTTTGCATCGCTCGCTGGAGCCACCGGCTGGTCGGCTAGTGGCAGACTCCCGCCAGGTCCCCCTGGGTCAGTCTGCGTCTCTTCGCTGGTGGCCATCACCGCTCCAAAAAGGCCTCCGCCGCATGAAGAAGTTGCATCGCCCCAAGGGCACTTGCTCATCAACGAGGGTCGGCATGAGTCGACGGAACTCCCCCGCCGCTTCGAACAACAATCTGGCTGCTGAAGAGGCTGTTAGGAGGAGCTCTCTCTCGCTCTCTCTCTTCTTCCACACAGTCAAGGAGAAAGCTTGCACGCTCTCCCACGCGCGCGGGCGCCCCCTGTCTGTTTGGGTCTTTGCAGAGTCTACACAAGATGAGGCCCCCGTTCTGCAACTTTGTAACCCCCTTTACAACTATTGAATCCCCCAGGCCCAGGCCTCATCTTGTCTGCGAAAAGGCGGCTACTGGAGCTAACTCGCACTGTATTGCCAGCTTGCAACTCGTTACCGCACTGTGTCCCCTCTTGCTTTCTTTCTGCATGGCGTCAGGGTCAGCTCGCTGACCCTCAGGTCACAGGCCCCCCCCTCCCACTGTGTTAATGAGTGGAAGGCTTCTGGGCTCCTTCAGACTGCGGCTGCGAGCGACCTAGCGTGTTGCCGGCCTCATGTTGTGAGCCCCTGACCTCGAACACTAGCACCCCCAACGCGCATCCCGGCCTCGTGTCCGCGCCCCTATGGCTACATGGGGGTGGTGGGCTCACAACTCGCTCAGCATAGCCCCCATGCAAAGGCGCGAATGCAAAAGTCCCTTCTGTGTCCCCTCCCTCTCTCTCTCTCTCTCTCTCTCTCTCTCTCTTCGGGGCAAAGAGGAAGCAGCGGTCCAGCTGCCCCCCCTGCGCGCGAGCGCGCACCCGCGGTTCACGGGTTTTGTTCGTTCCCCCTTTTGGGTTTCGTCCATAGGGGCTCTCTCTCTGTCTTTTTCTTTCGGCAGGGTTATTTTTTTTTTGCCTCCCACCTTGCTAGGACGAGCCCGCATTGCAGGGTACATTCCGAAAGAACAGTGGCCAATGCACGATCAATTAATGGATGCCGTTTAGCTTCCAACAGCAGCTGCCGTAGCTCAAACAGGGGCAGCACGTTGACAAAGGAAACACCATGATTAACAAAGGTGTTAGGTTCGAGCAAAAGGGGCCAGCTCTTAGAGCGGCAGGACTATGCCCAGACTGCCGTTTCACAGTTTAAAGGGTCTAGGTCAACACGAGGCGATCCTCTCAGACTGACAAAGAAGGCAACTCACATTCCTGCAGAGTCTGACTAGGCTCCATTGCATTGCACACGCATGCAGCCTCCCAAATTTCTGTAATTGGCACGAATCCATCGCCACTCCGAGGCGAGTACTTCAGTTCAGCACGATGGCAAGCATGCAAATTCCGAACGGCCGGTCACGAAGAGACCCAGTACCAATTACCAATTACCAATTAGTGGACAGACCAGCATGGAAAGCCAGAAAGTGGGTCAAAAGCGACCCCACCAATCGTCCGCATGCCAGCAAAGATCGACTGCACCCATCCGCATCATGGGTCCTGCATGTGGTGCACCAATTACCAATTAGTGGACAGACCAGCATGGAAAGCCAGAAAGTGGGTCAAAAGCGACCCCACCAATCGTCAGCTTGCCAGCAAAGGTCGACTGCACCCATCCACATCATGGGTCCTGCATGTTGTGTACAGCCCAAAGACCAATTGATCCTGCAGTCTCGCAGTACACTGCTCAGGGTCGATAGAAAAATCTCCAGACACGAGGGGCTGCTCACACCAAGGGAGCGCTCACTCGTCACCAGCTCAAATAAGACCGCGAGCAGCTAAGTTGATCGCGCGGGCTTGCAGGGGCCAGGCTGCTGTGTATAGTAACGAGCCAGGGCTATGTCGATCATGTCGAGACATGGCCAGCCCAGATTGTGAAATGCAGTCAGAGGCACTCCGCATCTGTCGTTTTCTCCGGGGATGCAGCTGCATAAGTGGAGAAGTCCAGCTTTTTGTTGGTTTTTCGGTTTTTGTGGACTGCCCATGCAGCGGTGTAGCGGTGTAGCGTCAGTAGCGAACACAGCTTTCCGCAGGTCTCAAGGCTCGCAGCTGTCGGAACAGCTTGGCATCCGGTGACAGAGCACTGGAGTTGGCCATGGCAAGAAGGAATAGAATCGCCGAAAGGTTATGAGCATGGAGGTTTCCCCCATGCCCGCGCGCCAGTGGCGCGACGGACTGGTGCGGAGGTGACTTGAAAGATCTCTGTCTCTCGCTCTCTCTCTCTCTCTCTTTCTTCTTCCCCAGGGCATAGGGGGCGGGTCAGACCCCTCGGCCTATTGGCCCCCCATATGTTATGGGGCTTTCGGGGGTGTGAGAAGGTTGTTCGAGTACCGGGTATGTTTTCGATAATTTTGATATGCTATGTTTAGTAATTCACGGCTAAGGAGATACAAACCAACTCATTTTCCCCGGACTCAACATAGGCAGTACTGTGTGGACGCCTGAATTAGTACCACAACCTCGGGTGTAAAAGTGCTAAAAGGAGTAACTTCCCCCGCATCAAGGTTGTGTTAGTTTGCAATCATCTGCATTGGGTTTCGCAGTCATGTCGAAAGGACATCAACAACCAGAGCAACAGTCATATGCTAAGAACAAACACTCACTTCAACATGGTTGCGTCCCCCATCTTTTCCGTGTTGTTCCCCTCATCCTCACAGCTTTCCTGTTTTGGGGGAATGTGGCCAGGAGTGAGGGGAGCATCAAATCACAATGTTGCCAAGTTTGGCAGGCCCAGAGAACAGATTGCAGTTAACTGTGCTTGCTGAGGCGCCGGCCACAGATGCATGTGTGCCACACGTCCCCCCGGGAACAGGCTAAACTAAGAAAACAAAACAACCAAAGTTTTGAGGAGGGACAACCAGCACACGTGCGACATGTAGCGCTACCTGCGGTGCAAACGTTCAAGTAAAAATGCATGGGTAGAAATGGCAGCCAAAGCAGTTGTTACATTACACCGCACTACAACGCTTCTGCAGGAGGCCGCCTCCACGATGGTGCAGAACATGTTTATCGGATTCTTTTGCATGAGGGGAATTATATGGAAACAAAGACACAGCTGTACATGCGAGCCTGAAAGGCTACCATATGCAAGTCAAGCTTGTTCCCCCTCACGACATCGATCCAGCAAAAGTGGGAGTCCCCCGGATCTTCCCAAAAACACTGACAAACAAGCAGGGATGATGAAAGCACCGACTCCAGCACTGGGCTTATGGTTTGGCTTGGGAGGACTCCTGCGTACAATACTAAAACTAATGCGAGGGGGGAAGGAAGCAAAAGAGGATAACCCAAGTGACTAATGGGAATGGTTTGTTCAGCGACTGCTTCACTCGGCTCAAGGTCCCCCTACACCTCAGTGGTACTTGTTGCTCAATCTCCGAAGTGGAGAGGCTTCAGTCACCCCATGTCGCGGTGTACTCCCCGATCTTGGTCTCAGAGCCCCTCGTGCACGTGTTCAGCAAGGATACGGGGTCGACGGTGGCTGCTGTCGGACATTTCGTCCGTGTCTGCAGCGGGGCTGCGTGCACGTCGTTGCGCATTCCCCCGTGGTGAACTGCTGGACGCTCTCGCTACGTCCCCCAGCCCATGATGCCGTTCCCTGTACCACCACACATCAGGCTTCCAGTCCCCACGCCACCAACAGTCTCTTCCGGGGTCGCGGCTGCAATCCCCCGGACGAGGTTCATGGCTGCTTGTTGGACCGTCGGCAGCATGTGAACTGGCCATTGGCGAACTTGTTGCAGCAGGCTTCGTAGGGTTTCAACAGCCATGTACCACTCTGGTGCTCCTCCAGTCTGAAGCAAGGAGGTGTCGGCTCCCCCTTGGCTCAGTGCGACAACGTCCGACAGGTGGGCCAAAACGTCCCCTTGGAGGAGGGCTTCCAGCGCTTCAGCAACGGCCACCAGCTTTGCCCAAGTTTGAGATCCCCCTGGCTTCTCACCGAAGATGCCATCCAGGATCTCTCGGAGCGGTGTTAGGACTGGAGGCAGTTGTACATGTACTGCAATGTTCCCGTTCCAGCGTGCTGAACCAACGGATAAGAGCATCCACATGCGGAGCAACCATGGCGTAGGGCAAGCATGTGTCTCCCCCTCTAGTTAGAAGTGTTCTAGCTAAGTGATGTAGATGCTGTGCTGCTGTAAGGGCTGCAGCTGCAGGTGTTTGTGAAGTTGTGGTGGGTCTATCCCCCGCAGCAGGGAGGCCATCCTGTGTGGCTTCAATCAGTTGTGCCGTTGGCGTGTCCACGAGCAGCTCAATAATGGCTGCTTCTGCCATGCTGGCTATTGCTCGGCTTTGGGAGTCGTCGTGTGTTTCTGCGATGCGCCGAATTTCCATGAGCCCCTGTTCGACCCTTTGCCAGGATCGTGTTCGAGCATTGCTGGGGTGGAAGCTTCTGCCGCAGGGTTGACTGCCGTTGCGGTGTCTGGATCACTCGCTACCTGGCCTTCTTCCGGCGGGGTGGGGTAGGGGGAGGTCGGGGTCTGGTTTTGGGTCGGGCTGGTTGCTGTAATGTCAATGTCCCCCGACTGTTGCTTGTTGGGGGCTCGCTTCTGGCTGCTCTGCATGAGGCTGTTGTCGTCCCCGTCGGGTTGCGTGGTACTGGTGGTGGTGGTGGTAAAGGAGGGTGTGGTGTCAATGGAGGTGGTCGTGGGTGTCGTTGGTCCACCACCGTTGCTTCCCTGTGGTGCTTGATTGTGGCGTCCCCTGCGAAGTTCGCGTCCGTCGCTGAGGAGCTCAGCCAAGGGGGTTGCTGCTTTGGGTTTCGCTGCTGCAGCTGCTGCTTGTGTTGGTATTTGGCTTTCCTTCTGGGACTTGCGGAGGCTCCGCCCATCGGAGAGCGTATTGACGTGCTCTCGAGGTTGGTCACGGGCCGCACTTGTCTTGCTTCGTGTCTGTGGGCAGTAGCTGGGTGGTGGTTCGTGGGACGAGCTGGAGCTTGCTGATGCTGTTGCCTGCTCCTGGTACTTGCTGCTGCTTGCGCCCCGTGAGTCAGTGGGCTCATGCTGCTGGGTCTGCGCGTTGTCTGTGTCTCCATGCTCAGGTATTGTTACCAGGGGTGTTGTTCCCCTAGTTGTGGCTTGTGGCTGTGCTCTTCGTTCTGCTGCAATCAGGCTGCATCGCCTCTGACGGAGATGGCCTATGGCTGTTGGGGCGTCCGGCGATAGGTATTCCACGCGAACGTTCCACCCGTGTTCTTCTTGTTCCAGGAGCAAGCGGTCGCCAGGTGTCAGCAGCATGGTATCCCTCTCGTATGTCTGGTGGGAGGGAGTTGACTGACGCCAACTGACGCTATTTGACGCCGGGGGGGGGGGCCTTCCAACTGACGCCAACTGACGCTTGGCCGGGCCGGCTGCAACTGACGCCAACTGACGCTATCTGACGGGGGGGGGGCCACCAGCAGCTCCTTCTCTCTCTCTCTCTCTCTCTCTCTCTCTCTCTCTCTCTCGACCAGGCAAGAGAGGCCGGGAAGCTTCCAGTCCCGCCCCCCGCGCGGGCCATTGAAGCTTCCCGGACCACCCAAGTGCTTCTCTGTCTCTCACCCCTTCGCTGCCCTGTAAGTCTAAGGGCGTAACGGCTGTCGGAGATCCGCATCTTTGAGGCTTTCGCAGAACCGCTCCTCAGAAGTTGAACCCCTGGCGAGCTGCACATTGCACAGCGGAGAAGCCCAAGCTCACGACGATAACGGCATGAACGAGTCGCTGTGGCCTCGGATGCTTGGAATGCCGGAGCCAACTCTATCACAAGTCTAAACATCTGCCAGTCACTCATGTGGTGAAGTTAAGGCTGGCACTCACGAGGAACCTCAGACAAGCGGCAACAAGCGAAAGCGCGCGTGATTAGTCCATGGCTGCCTCGAGGTGCAAAGGCACGATTCGCCCCTGCACTGGTATAGATATCTCAGTGATCAACCGAATCACTTGCGCATCCGCATGTACGGTTTGAGACTTTCTATTCAACAGGTGCTTTGTGACCAGGGCCTGCATCTGCTCCCACACGTCGCAAAGCAAGCAAACCTTCGGAAGTGCAGGACGTCTTCCCGCTGTGGTATTGGACTCACCGACATTAATCTTCCGAGAGCGGCGCCCGCCGGAAGTTTACCGGCACTAAGTTACTATGCGTCAGGAAGGAGCCTCAATCACACAACAGATGAACCACAGAACTCTGTTGCGACGCATTTGCGGACGTCTGCATGGAGCTGGGGATCAAGCAAAAGTCGTTCGTGATTTTAAACCTTCGCACGTCCAACACTTTCGGCACCTGGGGTCACCAACGATTGGCATGACAATCGTCCGTGTTCGACGGAGGACGCGTGCAGCAGAGCCAGGCACTGTGGCACCGGGGTGCTTCCGCCAGCGTTGAAACTCCGAGAGCGGCTCGCACTTGTTGATACCTCCCATGCGATGTCACTAGGCCCAGAGGCCCAGACACCCTGAACAAACGCAGGCTACGTGAACTGCAAGTAATTAGCGGATGATTTTCCGCACCACTTCGACGGGAATGTCACTGCAATGCTGGCATCCGTGCTTCAAACCTTCCAGTATTTTTTCCCAGACAAAACACAGCGGGCCCTAATACTGTGTCTAGGCTCTAGCACTGCTTCCCCAGCTTGCTCTTTTTGCTCTGATCGGTTTGATACTGTTTGCTGCTGCATGCTCTTTTGCCACCATGGCGCTGCTTGAGAGTTGTTGGCAACGGTTTACATACTTCTTCTGTGTCCGAATTTGCGACGTAACGAGTCCTGTTCGAGTCGACTGGTTGATCTGTTGATTCCTACTCCAAGCTTCGGTGACAGACTGTGGCGTGTCGTGCAAGAACGAAACACTGAAACGATAGGGCCTGGTCCAGGCTGAGAGCAACACTTTTCAACACTGAAATTCCACCACCAGGTCGTGGCGCGAAAAAGCAACCCAACGCACGATACACGGATGTAAGGGGCCGAAATCTACTGCACTGCATAGAATATTGCACTTGAGCACCGTCTGGACTTTAGACTTCCACTTCGGTCAGCAGACATGCCCAGTGGCCACAAGATAAAACTCTCGCAGTGATCGTCCCGGCGAGGATCCACATGTTTAAGTGCTTGCAGCCCCCAGACAAACGGCAAGGCACGCGAAGACTCCTGACCCGAAGGCAAACCACACCACAACACTTAAAATGTCACGCAGGCCCATGTCTGTGAGGGCTTCGAAACGGGCGTGCACATCCTACCACTGCTGCGAGCCAATCGCCGGCATCCTGAAGCCAGTCGTCGGCGGCATGAGTTTGAGACTTCAAACCGCTCTTTCGCAGCAGCCCCCCAAGGACAAGGGCCAATTGCAACAAACACAAGACGCAAGACGAGAGGGTGGTTGAAGCCTTCGACTACTGTCGAAAAGAGAACTGGGTGCCAATGGCAGCCTGTTTACCCGCGGAAGATGGTCAAGTGGCTGCATGCGAAGCGATTTTTGGGACCCATGTGTCTGAGCAAAGACTCGGTCGCACCATCAAGCACAAAGAGCTCGTAGTCGACCTCGGGTCTTCTTCACTATCAACAAGCTCTCTCTTGCAGGAACACGGAGCGTGACTTGCCCTGGGTGGTTCTCAGGGCGACACCTTTGGACCACGACTGCTCTGCTCCTCCAGTCTCCTTCGAACTTCACCGAGCACTCAAGGGATCACGGTTCTGTTGAAACGTCACGTCCACAATACCTTACTACGGCATGACCCTGACCTTGTCTTGCATGGCAACTCATTGGTGCTGTACAGGAATTGCAGCCAACCTGCAGAAGCAAGACAGTGACCGAAGCCCCAAGGCTGGTTTGGCACGAGCGAGGTCTTGGCCTACTGCGTGCCAGAATCGCTCGTCTGACTGGATGTCCTTGACAAGCTTCTATGGGGCATTTGTATTCTTTGCCTGTCTTGGCTCCTCATGTAACGGACATCTTAAAAGGTTGAAGAAGCCTTTCGAACTGAAGCTCACAAACTGCCCAAAACGGATGTCCTTGACATCTTGAACCTGGCAACCGCCAAAACAACTCAGCAGTAGAGCTCTCCCTACGGCACTAGACTAAAGCTGTGAATGCTGTCAGGTTATGTATGCCATTCTGCTCATCGGCAACCACACGAAATGGAATAGAGCCGGGTTAAGCAAGTGAGTCGCACATGCACGACTCTGGCATTGACTACGTCGACGGCAGCCTCAGCCACGAGGATGCGCAACAGCTGCACGGATGCATGCGACTGAAGCAGTCTTCATGTTTCCAACTTCGTCTGCTAGGCCGGCCACCTGTGCCAGCTTCTCGAAGAGGACGGTCGGCCATGAAAATGCTAACTCATGGGCCAACCTGCAAGTATGCTACATCGGACCGTGTTTCCAAGGCTCTGTGGAGTTGCTAGAAAGCACAGAGATCATGTCGAAAGGCAGAGCTTGCCTTCGCCGATCCGCCGTATTCAGATGCAATACGTGCCATCCTGCAAGAGCATTCAAGGAGGGCAACCACTGTGTACTGAACAGCATAAACTGAAAGCTGGCGCAAGGAACAACCAGGAAATGACACATTGCTGTTGCCCTTCCGTCCTATTCGTTCGGTTATGTCGATGACCCAGAACAACCTCCTTGACCTTTCAATAGCAGAGCGAAGGCGGACTCAACCGACAGTGGCACATCGTGGGCACCCAGATGCTATCGCCAAAAGATTCGCAGCACTTCGGAGCGCAACGACACTCTGACTCTGGGTTTCATGCAAGTTCTCATCGTTGACTTCGTCGACCTCTGCCTACGTATGCCAGAACCCACGGGCACGATACTATTATACTCGCTCAATACTCACTATGCCGCATGCGAAAGGGAGTAGTGTCTCAGGTTCAAACCATGAAGGCATCCAGCAACTCTCTGGATCTTGTGTGACAGTCCTGGCTATCGAAGTACTTTGTTGCTCTCCGGTACGAGTTTTCTCCGTGGCTTTCTCTGTCAGGCTGTGCCGAAAAAGCCTGGCAAAAGTCGATGTCACAATTCTCCGAGCAGTGGTAGTAGAAGCGATCAGTGATACCTGCCGTCTGAACTGTTTGAGGACCAGATCGTGCAACATGTAAGCTTGTTTAGATAGCAGTGGTTCAGAACCTGAAAGACTTCAAGCTGTCCAAAGCTTGTCAGGTGCTCTGAGACACTGCCGCGATCTTAATTCTGGGCCGCTAAAAGCGTCCAGGCTTACGTGTGCCGCAATTGTCGCAAATCTTCTTCGTGTTGAAGACCTTTCTGATCAGGCTTGTTGTGCTCGATTTGGCTCCTCGACGTTGTCATCACTGCAGACTGAGGACCCCACAGGGCGCCATCGTGAGGTCCCCAAATGCACATTCATGGTGTCTGCCGAGCGCTAAGTGGAAATCTTACATCACTGCTGCATGTGCTTACATGACAACGGGCAGCTCACTGTCACCTTCTGCAGCCTCTTGTCTCTCCATTTTGTGAGGGTGGGGGATGATGGCGACCTGTGCAGCGTGGGAAGAGGATCTCCGTCGCATCAGTCGGAGATAACAAAACATAACATAAGGCAACAATCAAACGACGTCTCAGTGAGCTGTGCCTCGTTCTGATCTCTCGGCAAGGCATTCGTCAAGAGAGGGAGAATGGCCGACAAGAGCGCCTGGCACTGGCACTCGGTCCTCACATTCTTTTGCAACCCTTTCGCCGTGCATGGTTTGCCAATGGCAGAAAATTGCAAGCACACGCATGGGCGGGACTTCCTTGGCAGGATCCAGCCCTGTTCGATTCTAACCTACTACCGCAGAAAAAAGCTGCCATATGCCCCCCCGAGTCAACAGAGCTCTGGCGGGTAGGGACGAAATCAGCTGTAATCAGCTAAGCTTCAGTTGCTTTCCTACCGCATGACGCACCCCAAACATGCAAACGACCCCCATCTTTGAGCGTTGAGGCAAAAAAAACAAACGTGTGAGTCGATCTTGAAAGTGTCCCTGTTCACCTGAATCCGGTCCAGGTAAGCTTCCAGGAAAGCAAATATGGCCACGACAGACTTCGAATGACATGCCGCTGGCGATCATGCAAGATCAGGGCAGCCCAACCGGCAACGCTGCGAAGATCCACGGAAAGCCCTGCGATGCCCTGCCCGACACAATCTAGACATGATTTGCCCAGGACCAACGAAAGCTAGTGGCGATGAGGAAGGCCGAGAAGGAGAAGTCGCGCGTGCGCAATGCTTTTGCCCATTGCGTGCACAAGGGATGTTGTCTACCTGCACACTGGGTCTTCCCCCTTTCCCGAACGAAGGCACGCGCCGCTTGATCATGGTGGGGGTCGGGCCTCCTGCCTTAAAAGTCAACCTTCAAAGGCGGGATCACCCCAACACACTGACATGCCTGCAAGTTTGCTGTATCAGACTCAATCTTTGCTAAATCTGCCGCAACTTGATGAAGAGCTAGCATCCGTGAACACCTGGCTGCAATCCTCCCCCAACAAGCCGAAAACCCACAACCTGATACAGGCGGTACAGCCAAGGTCTTAACAGATAACGAAGAAGGAAGCACCTCAGTGCACTACTAATCCTTGCAGGTATTGGGATTCTGCTGACCTTCGCGAAATATGGATGCCGCACTCCTTTCTCTTTCGATTGGCACAACTTCCAGGCTGTGTTAACCTCACGACAAAGCTTTGGACCTCAAGCATGTCTACTAGCAGCTATCATGTCCAAGCGACAGTAAGAACCTCAACAGAATGCCGCACAAGGACTTCGGTGGGGTGCGATTCATCACACCCACCACATCGAGTCAGCTGCAGCCGTAATAACCCCGGTTCCATGCCAGGGCGGCGGACAACCACGTAATTGAAGGCGTTGACAGTTCCTTAGAGGTCCATTCTCATGCGTGTGAGGTGGAGCAACACACGCTGACATGGGAGATCTGAAGTCAAGATGTGGCTCGTCGTCGACATCCATGTCCTCGACATCTAGCATTTCTGCCGCATCTTCTTTGGGCTCCTCGCATGGAATCGCTCGATGAGGCACAAGATGATCATCATGACCCCGGCTGCCACCTCGGTGCTCCCTGTGCCAGATGAGGACGCTTTGTCTGGATCTGCGGGGCGTGTGCTGTCGGCTGTCTGTGTTCACACTGCAGCGTAATATCGAGAAAAAACATTCTCGCTGCTGCTCCCCAACATCTCGTGCCTCCGGACTCATGAACATCCATATCAGCTTCCTGCACTCAACAGAGTCGTCACTTTCACTTGTTCGATCTTGTTCGACTTGAAGCTCTGCCGCGTGAACTCCGAGCACCTCATTTCTGGCGTCGGATTCCGAGAAGTCGGACTGTGCGAATGGTCGCCTAGCAGAAGGAGGAGGATGCCAGATTGGCTTCGGGCTAGGATTGTGAATTTCTCTATCAATGCAACTCCAGCGGAACAGGGTTGCACGAGCCTGGGAAGTATCGGCATGACCTCTGCCTGCAATGCAAGTCCAGGTACAGTTGCTTCCAAAGCAAACGGTGACTAATTCACCTCCCTCCCACAGCCATGCATAACCACACAGCATAAAACATGGCGCCATCACGGCAGCTCCTCTTAGAAGGTCTGCTAGTTGCGCAAACCACGGCGAAGACCCCTGGCTCTCCACACTCCCATTGCATAGCGATGTGTTGGGGTGATCATGGCATGAGACAGCTTGGAGGCCTTTAAGCCAATTCTAGGCACCTTGGTCACAAGGCGCTCGAAAGCGCAGGTCACCCGCAAGTAGTCTCTGGAAGAACCTGGATCCGAGTCGCTGACTCAACGCTCTTTGCACGACTACCACTCGGTGGGAAGATGTGGGAAGTAGCTGAGATCTGGGAGGCTGCTCACAGTCTTAAGTCGAAGCCTTTCAAAGCCGAACTCACAGGCTGCTTGCGGGCTTCGCCACCATTGTCAGATACACCAGGCAGGAAGGACCTTGTGTGCCATGCATTCATCCCATCCCCCATGAGTGCTAGAATGCCCACAAGTGCACGACTGTGCCAAGGCGGTCTGGGTCCGCAGAGCTTCCACGACCTATGCAGAGTCGAACCGCAAATTAGCCAACATAGCCAACTAGCGGGCTAAAGCTCCTCAGGAATCGGTCCAAGCAAAGGCCCTGCAGTTCCTGAGCCTTCTGCAGGTGAAAGACAGTGGACGCTTTTCCGGCCATCCTTTGCATGCACGAAGCTTCAGAATCGCATAGCATCGGAATTGTAATCAAATTCCCGCGGACTGCCTCTGCAGCCAGGGCTGCATCCACGGCAGCTTCTAAAGCCTCAACGCCCAAAGGCATTGCTTGCCGCCACAACGTGGCGGACCTGCCAAACATCATGGATCCGACACACTGCATCTGCATGTGCAGTGGGCAGCGGCGCCTGAAGTTTCTCCACTTCGCTCACAATTCTCGTCTGATCGCAAAGAACCGTTAGTCGAAGCAAATTTCCGTGTACTTAAGTGTATGGGCTCCCTTTCCACCGTAGAGCGCGAAGCTCGAAAGTGCATGCTCACCCGAAACTGATGATGTGTTTTGGAAGTGCTGCAACATTTCTGACCTCATGAGCCTGCAAGAGCATGTTCGGCGCCTTCTCTCACGTGCCACCCGCATGTGCCTCATCGGTCTCGGATTCACTGAACTTTCGGCTTTTCTCCGTTGCCACATGGACACGGACAAGCTAAGCAGGCCTCACACCAATCTAGTCGCTCGAAACGTTCTCTCACAAGTGAGACGGTTGTGGGGCATGGGTTGCCCTTACCTGCACTGGGGGCATAAACTGTGTTCTGCAGTACTGTCCAATTTCTGTGAAATGAGTGGCCAACACATCGAGTGACCACCGCAACCGCAGCTCACAGTAGCTACACTGCTCTGTCCAACTCACCCACCCGATTCCAGCTGAATACCCTTGGTTTGACATCACGGAGTTGGAGTTTGTATCAGTTGCGGGCGAGTTCCATGCAAACAGTGCGCAAAAGCTGGCCAGTTCAAGCGACCCCAAGCCTGTTAGCAACTGATGATGTTGCATGTTGTACTGTGCAACTGGCACATGCTCTCACTGCTATTGCCTTCTTGGCAAGAGGCCACCCACACAGGTGGTGGCGGCTTTATGCTACCCGGGAGCAAGCGCTGCTCCCTTTCGTGCTACAGACTGCAACACCACAAGACGATAATTAAGTTAGCCGGTCGTTGGCAAGCCAAGCCAGTCAATCGTTTTCAGCGAGACACCCGTCGTTTCATCATCTGCTTCCTTCGCGGTCAAGGCCAGCCGGGCCTAGGCATGTGAGATCGTGAGTACATTTGTAGCAAGACGACAGCTGTGATTACCCAGCAGGCAAGAAAGTGCGGCACAACCTTTTTGATGAGAACTGTCTTATTGGCTTGGATGGCTGCAACCAACGACTGTCACTCCGGGGCCCGCGAGACCCACACGAGCCGTTGAAGCTGTGGCTGTCTTGTCTTATCTTGTCTGGGAACATGTCACATGACAACCCCACCACGGCGAAAATTATCCATGGCGCTTGGCACCAGGACAACCAATGAAACAGGCAAGACTGTACAGTCAAGCATTGCCAACCGCAACAATACTCGAATTTCAATCGTGCAGACATCGGTGAAACGGGCTACCAGCTGGACTGGAATACCGACTCACAAGCGCGAAGCTCATGCACAACTGCAGTCTTTGTTCAGTGCCAGCGGCGCTTGCAGACAGTCTAAAATGCTTGAGAAGAACTTGTGTATGGCAGCAACTTCGAGACCTTTTCAACTCGGATCAAGAATGCTTCCTTTTGGCGTAACCAGGGGCTCGATCACTTCCTGCAGACGACACAAACTCTGGAACTTTTCGGAAATAGAAACCACACCACATTCCAAGCGTTGCGCTGCTGGGACGGCTACCATGGTGTGATGGTCTTTGCGTTGCGGTTGGCTTGGCATGATTTTTGATTGCGCAGGCTGGGCAGATATGGCGCTTGGATTCCCACTAGGACTTTCCCAAGAGCAAAGTCCTCCATCATGTCCAATTGATCGTGAAGCTGCCCTGCGTCTGCCTCCAGCCGCTAACTTCAGGGAAGGAATTGTGTGGATTCGGTCGCGTTGAAACAGCTAGGCAGCTAGGAGAATATCATTGTCGTTCTGCATCTCATGAACGGAATGCCTCCTTTGGGTACCATTCCAAGCCGGTACCTTCAATCTCAATCTTCGGGGCAGTGGACAAAGTTATGGGCGGTGGCGCTCCATTTCTGCCTGAGCTCGGCGCCGCAACAAGCTTGCACAAGCACACAGAAAGACAGATAGACAGATATTGATCATGGCATTATTCTGTCTATTCTATCCTATTCTATATTCCATTCGAAAAATTTGCGCTAGCTATTCTATTAGTTATTCTGTTCTGCTCTATTCGTCTATTGGGTACTATACGATCCTTTACTTTACAAGGCTTTACTACAATCTACTATACTAAATACTTCATACTGTACCATATTGTAAGTATCATCCTACTACAAACAATGTTACGTCATAGTACATTATCTTATATTACACAAACCATGTCATATTTGTCTCATAGCATGTCAGTATCAGATCATATCATATCACATTATATCTTGCCATGCCATGACATATCACAACATACCATCTCAGAAAACATATCATGTTACATTTCTGCACTACTAACCTGTTGCATTATTCCAGAGCAGTATGTGGACAAATACATATCAGATATAAACACGAACTATGTAATTACATCTCTACGTGTTAATAGAGCTCCAGACGGGAAATACACTCGGCATTATGAGGCACGAAGCCAGGGTTGCAAGACCGCTAGCCTGCGCCTTTCCCACAGATCCATTTCAGCACTATCTCAAGCCCGCCAACTCATTGAGACTTCTTGCAGCGGCTTCTATGGAAAGCTGATTGGGGACCCACTTTCTGCTGGGCTACAGGCTAGCAGGACTGTGCTTCTTGCAACAAAGAACGTGCGATAGTGTCGCCCGGGCTTACTTGCAAGCAAGTGTCTTGCATCAGATAACGAGTGCGGGCCAAACGGAAGCGCTAGGTCCGTTGCATGCCCCATCCAGTACCCGAGTGTACCCGATATTGATGTAATATGCCACGGGGGCCCATGTGCGCGGCTCAGCCCACCATCCTACCGAGGCTCTTCAACGACGTTTTGTGCACCAACTGCAGCTTTCTGCTACTCACTGCCCACCCGCCACCCCACACCTCAGCCATTAGCGACTGCTTCCCAGATGTTCTCCCAACAGTTCGCCAGCCAAACGGTACATAATTTCAAACTTCCACCAAATATGAACCAGCCGCACTTTCTCCGGGCTTCGAAAATAATCTTTGCAAGCTCCTGTGCCGGGCCAAAACACTGTGTCATGCGAAAGCATCTGCATCCTTACAGGTAGTGCGTTCCGCTTGCAGTCCTTGCTGCTCGGCACATGCGTCGGATAAGGAGGCATGATTGGGCAGGTCAATGCAGAGCGCGCTCTCCGCCATTCCTGCACCTGGGTCAGATCTCGATAGAAAAAAATCAAAAGCCTGGAGCCTGGCGCCTGCTATCGCTGGTTGCTCATGTTGAAAGTGCCTCCCAGTGGTAAGTCGCCATGTCCATTCGCCATTCTTGCAGCAGCTGCAATTGCTCGTGTCTTCGAAGCCGCAATAAACAACTCAGCCCACTGAAAAAAGCAGTAACGCGCACGACATGTTGCAAGCTCCCGGCATCTTGCTCTCACAGAAGAGCAAAGCTTGCAAGGAGGTGGAAGCTTGCAGTTGAAATCAACTGACAACTAACCCCTTGAAGTTGAGTCTTCATGCCAATGTAAGCATCGCACTTTACTGCCTGCGTCCGCCAAGTGTCAGGAAGAAGAGCTTTGGTCTGCCATCCAGGCGCTACGCATCGACAATAATAATATCCATGAAATTCTTGCAACACATGATTCCACCGGCCCAGTACCAGCCTGGTCTTGAGTTTTCTGGTCCAAGGCTTTGTGCGACATCCGCCGGCAAAAATCCTTGGAATCCTTTGCCTCTTTCGGTTCTTCGTCCTGCTCCTCGCAGCACGTGGCCACACTTTCACAAATGCGAAGTTGGACACACGACAAAGTCCCTGTCCTTTTCGATCAGATCCCGCTCAATCTGCAGCATCTGCACCTGCAGAGCTCGATTCCCACAGATTTTGAACGGCGAGGCGGATTCCGGGCCTTTAGTGCCACCCTCGTGGCCTTCAACCGGATGACTGCACGGCGAAGGAAATCCTGTAGTCGTCGGATCTTTGCCTGCTAGATGGACATATTCTACCCACCCAGGTGCGAAGGCAGTCGAGAGACAGGACAACACTTTCCACTCAAGAATCTGAATTCGCATGGGCGAAACACGAGTAGAGCGCTTCACCTGCAACGGAAGCCCCAACCCCCGCCCCTCCACCCACCCGCACCTGCGCACGCAGGCACGAACAGTCTCGCACGGGCACAAACGCGCGCAGGCCCTCCCTCGCTCATGCGCGCGCTCGCAACCACCACTACGAGCACAAAACCAGTGCCGCGCCGCAACGCCATCTCTTGGCATTCTTTGCGCACCGGCTCAGGGACGAGTGAGTAACCATGCACGACCCACAGATTGCAGCACCCGCATACGGCAAAACATGGCAGGACCTGTCTAGGAGGATCTGACCCAAAACACGAACCTCTGCGGTAAGTAGCGAAGGGCGCTTCGATCCTTTCGCCTAGCTCAATATAATTACTTGCTGCTGAGATGCTGAACATGTAACCTCTAGTAGTCGCAAAAAGCGCAATGACAGCTTTGAGTCTGTGCGGCCGAGCTTCCATGACATCGCGCATCATCCGCAATGCACGGAAGGGGTGCCAGCAGCGGAGTGCTGCAAGCAGACAGCGCGCGTGCGCGCGGGCTCGTCGGAGGCGCAGTCGGTTCACGACCCTCAGCCACCAGGATATCTGCAAATCCAGGAGTCACAGAACGCGACAAAAACCAAAAGATTCAAGAGCAGCTTGCAAGCTCGAAACATATCCTCCATGAGCTGGCAGCGCCACATAAATGGCAGCGCCTCGGACTTCTCCAGGAGAGGCAGCTGCATCTGCATGATGGTCCTGTCGGCAGACCTTTGCTCCGGGTGCTGGCAGAGTCGTACACCAACAAATGCTCTAAGACTTTGTCTGAGGCATGCGACTCTTTTAACGACCTTCGTGAAGGACTGCGTGTGGGGCTTGATGGCGTCGGTGATGCTTGAGACAGTGGTGATGCCTTGCTCCAAGTATCTTCGGCAATTGCGCGTCATCCAGATTCTGCGTTCAGAAGGTATCGAAGCTATTCGAAGCTTTCGGCCTCTTGCAGCTCGCAGGTTAGTCGAACCCGGACTGCTTCAGCATAGTGCGAACCTCTGCCACAGGACAAGAACGAAGGTGATCTTCGGCATCACGAATCTTGCGTCCTTCTCATTCTTTGTAAGCCCCGTGCGCCACAAGTTGATAGCCACAGCACGAGCAAAAGGCCTTGCCTGCATTCTGGCTTGGCACCAAACGTGCAATGAAGCTGGAAATTAAGGAAACCAAGGCGCCGCAATGCCTTTCTCTTGGACACTGATGCGGTTGAAGCGGAATAAGCATGCCTGCAGATTTCGGATATGCAAGCACGCGGCAATGGAGGTGACTTACCTCGGCACCGACCGGTCAGAGACGGTTTGCAGCGAGGTATGCTGGCTGCGTGAGAAAACCATTCTGGATCGGAGCGCAAGAGACTAGCTTGCCTCGCCTCGCCGGGAGACCAAACTGGATCACTATGTACAAGCTGGGCGCTACCGAACTAGTTAGCCAAAACGGAAAAAGCGGTGCGGTAGCCCTTCTTTTGGTCGAAGCGCAGTTGTGCGCCCGGCCAGGCGCACCGCCCCAAAATCACGGTGTCGGCGCCGGGGTGCGCACCTCTGCATGCGCCCGCCAGGCGCACCCACCCCGACACAGCGACGGCACCTACCACAACGCTAAATCAAGTAGGCACAAAGGGGCCCGGGCGAAGTCGATGTCGACGGCCGCCCGGCCCTGGCGAAGATCTCCATGATGTCGTCCACGGGGGTGGCCACCCGAGTCCATCCTTCGCTCCTGGTGCGGGAATCGTCTCCTCTGGAGACGGCGTCGTTTTTTCATTCATTCATTCGCTTCAGCTGAGTCAGCTGTCGTGCGGGCGGTTGTGATCCTTGTCACCCCTCAATTGAGGGTTCGCCGGTGAGAGGCAGACATGTTGCTGCACCCCGTAAGGCCCTACAGCTACATGGCTAGACTGCCCTTGCAGCCGTTAGGACTGTGCCCCGAAGAGCCCGTCAGTTTACCGTGTCATGGCAGGGACGTGACTAACTTGAATCAAACTGGAATCAAACTGTACAGAGTTCTAAAAATACCAAAGAGCCACTCAGAAGCAAGGCATCATTGACAGTGTGAGGAGTCCTCCGACACCATCTGTAAAAACTGATGCGAGCAGTACATCCATTCAAAAGCTGAGCGCATGCTGCGGATCATATGTTGGGGCATGTGGAGGGTGCCGTGGGGACAGAATGCAGGAGTGCCAGTCCGCTCTGTTCCCTTTTGCTGCCTCCGGCACCCCAAGTGTCGCTGGCTTGCATCTCAGTGCCTGATTCTTCCAATGGAGTGGAGTCCACAAGCCATTGGGGGCTGCCTTGGTCTTCGATGGCCGGCATCTGGCATCTTCCTCGAGGCGGGCAACTCTTTCAGCAGTGATCAACGGCGAGGTCAGCTCCGGTGGAGTCCAGTTAGCCAGTGTGTTTTTCCTTGCCGCCAATTCATGTGGTCGTAAAGCTGCCGACTCTGCCGGAGTGGTGCCACTATGTCGTGGAGGAGCTTGCACAGGCGCAAGAAATTTGTCTGAATGCCTGTGATCCTGGCGGTGGGACTGGTCTGAGTTTGACGTAGTTGTACGATCCAAGCTTCCACGAAACTCCCCATAGTGTCATCTGACTTGAAATACTGGCATATTCCAGGAGAGATGAGTTCGGCCGCCGGGGATAGTACCCAATTTCCCACTGCAATCTCAGGAGCATCATGAAAGACCTCGTGGAGGGCAACGTAGTATTGCGCCTCCCTGGCGGATGCAATATGAGCTCCCGCCTGCAGATCCTGGAGCGATGTCAGCAGCCTGAAGAGTTCTGGTAGTTGAGTGTTCAGGCAGCTCCTGATCGTCGGAAGGAGAACCAGGGACGTGGCCGACCAGATGATGCTCTCCTGGTCTGTCTGCCCCGTCGAAGCATCTGCTGTAGGCTGCGTCACTTGGGTGCGGAGGCCGCTAACCCCTGGCCTGCTAGTTGCCCCTGTTCCTTTGGTTCTGCTTTCGCTTCCGGGATCTCGTTCAGGGGCAGCTCCATCCTGTCGCCTGGGTGCAAGCGGTGTAGGTGTAGCCCGGTGGGTTCTTCTAGATTGGCTCTGTTGTCAGCCCACACTTCACCATCGGTTCGGGTCTGCACTGTTGATTCGTTGATTCTACTCTCCACGGCGTCCGTCTGCGTACCGATGTCGTGGCCCCCAGTGCCCCGGGAGAGAACTGAAGTCGGGTGTGGCAGCGCAGATAGGAATCCCATGACGATGCTCGCGTCACCTGGCGCCATGGACGCAAGAATCTTCTTGGCCGCCTGCACATGCCGATCCGCATTTTCATGCTCAGCCTCCCTATTCTGTGGCTCCTGTCCACCTGTTATCCACGGTGACCTGGGAATTGTCAGGTACCTCCGAGGAGGATGAGGCCCTGGCAGATGCATCTACTGGTTGCCATCTAAAAGGAGTGTGGAGACCACGAACTCCAATCTGCCCAGTACTCCCCAGAGTGCCAGGATGCCTCGCCGTAATGGCGAGACCACCACGGATTCTCCTCGCCACCTTGTGCCTGCGTTCGCGAATCCGGTCGCTCCTGCTGTGCCTGTTCTCTCTCTTGCTGAGCTCGGGCCTTTGCACGGGCCGTGGCTTCTTCACGGAGTTGAAGGATGCTGCCCGTGGCCGGAGCCCCTGTTTCCTGCAGCCGCGACGGCAATCGTCGCGATGAGCGAAGTTGTGAACTAGGACTCGGCATGAGCAGGGCTAGGCAGGAGCTGCTGACGTAGTCGGGTCCCGTAGCCTGGTAATACATGATGGACTGGGAGCTAGGGGAGTCAGTGTGATGGGGAGTGCCTGGTCGCGGTCCGGGTCGCGGTCCTTCTCGTTGCAGCTGGGGCTCGGTCGACTCTCTCGGCTCTTGGGGTGCGGAGACCCGGCCCGTGGATTCTGGCCGCTCCTTGGTAATAGGAAGATTGATCGGTGTGCCGGGCTGAATCCGGCGTTCCATGTTCGCGAGTACACCTGAGACGCCTACGGGATGACCAAGTAGCCGAGCCGGCTTGATCCGCACTCCGCCCGGACCCAAGAGAATTAGGAGGCTGCACCCTAGAGTTCTATTTTTCGTAGGTGCAGTTGGCTCTGGCGTGTGCAACACGCAGCTGCTGAGACACGGACCCACTTGGTGACTCCTTGTGCTGCCCTCCACTGGTTGATAGGCCTGAGCGGGCAGGGTATGCAGTGAAACTGTGAGGCAGAATTGGCTGCGAAGGGTCGTGACCCGAAACTCCCCTCCGCAAGTAGGTTCTCCTGCTAGAGGCAGGTGTGTGCTTTCGTCCAACTGTGGTTGGCAGATGCACCTTCGGGGGGTGGAGTCCACTTTCCCTGTGATGTACACTTGCCTGACAGGTGCATTATTTTGATTGATCCAAATCCGCTGTAGTTTGCTCAGTGGCGTACTGGGAGTGGAGTCCACTCGCCCCTCTGCCTGCCGAGGTTCGAGGCGCGCCACACTGATGACTGAGCTATTTCTCAGGATCCCACGAGTTGCAGAATTCGCTGGATCTCGGTGCAGGCGATGCGTGACCTTAGCGGGGTTTGTGCTCCAGTCTATACTTGCTGGTGGATTCTCCGGACAGGCCCTTGCTGTTGAAAGTAGCGGCCGTGGTGGGTCTCCTGAGCTCAGCCAAGATTTGACAAGGTGGGGCAGAGAGCAGTTGGAGCTCCTGAAGGGAGCGGAGGCCACTCGCCCAGCACAGCCCACCGGGTGTGGAGTCCACGAGCCCAGTGGCCTTCCGGATCTGACTGGCTGCGCGCTACTGGCTGTCGTTTGTTGCAACCTAGGGATCGTGTTCGTGTTGGGAGTGGAATCCACTAGCCCTAGCGATTGAGCAGCCTGCCTCCGGTGGCTTCGGCACACAAATCAATCCATCGCAAGCAAATCAATGACTGTTTGTCGTGGCTTGCTTTGTTGGTCGATCTTGGCGGGGTCCTCCGCAATGCCACGGACAATTCTGCCCCCCACATCAACTCTGACTCCATTGATCCATAGTCCCCCTGGAAAATTATTTGGGCGTTGTGAAATCGGCGGCTCTCCCTTAGCCTTGCTGTCAGCTTCTTGGAAAAGCCAAGCAAAATCTTCCACAAATTTCCAAGGACCATGCGACGCGCGCTTTCCTAAACTACCCGGGGTACTATTGACCCCCTACAACGACGAGCAAAAGTTCACGCTTGAGCCGGGGGCTTGGAGACGGCATCGGACACGTTGAACTCTGAGGGCACTCGGTGAACGTCCGGTGCCCAATGCCTGTCTGCGGCTAGGCCCAGAAGGAGGCGAGGATGCCGTTGACCGCGGCGTCCTTGCCGTAGCCTTCATCCAGCAACGGATGAAGGCTATCCAGTATGGACTCAGACGCCTGGCGACGGTCACCAGGGGCAGCACCTAGCGACGATCTCGAGCACGTAGATGAACGCCTTCCTGGCGGCGAAAGGGGCCCGTCAGGAGCAGCACGTAGCCCCAGCCATTCTGCCACCGAGCGGCCTTGGGCACGGAGTGGGAGAGAGGCTGTCCTCCCTGAGGGCCGAGTCGATCTGTTCAAGTATCGGGGCCCGGCGGTTGGGGGTGGGGGATAGCTTCACCCCTTCCGGGCCCACCCATAGCTCGACCCCTTGAACCACGTGCTTCCCGGCGCCCGGACAGACACTGGCTCCTGTTGCGGGAGCCGTAACCGAACCGGCCGACCCGCTCCGGCGGTGAAACGTGCACACCGGCAGGGAGGTGCTGTCGCGGTTGGCAAACTCCTTGGAGTAGTCAGTCGACGAGGTCGCCGCCGCCTTGGGGTGATCCGCTCTGGGGCTGGCGAGCCTTGGCGAACTCTGCTGCCGCAATCTCCCTAGATACATTAAGGCATCTTCATAGCTCACCCCCTCGTGAAGCTGGCGAGCCCGGCGATGCTGCGAGCAGCGTTTTTGTTGGCGGATGAATCCTTGGCGCAGGAGATGCTCCATCCGTCGGGGACGCGAGGAGGCCGGACCACCAGACGAAGATGTCCCAGAGGGCGCCGACTGCTGAGGGGCCGGCGCAGGACAGACCAGCGACCCGCTTCACAAGCGGTGACACCTTCACCGTCCACCAGGGGCTTTCTTGACCGGCCATTTGGGCCTGCAAGAAAGTCAGCAGGCGTGGGGCCGGGGTCCACCAAGCCCACGGGCCTGCCCGGCTCCCCAAGCACCAGGTAGGCCACGTCCAGGCAACCGCGATCGTCGGGCGACAGCGCCCTGATGGCCGCCGCGAAGGCCTCCTTCCTGCTGTCAGCGATGAAGGAAGAAAAGCAAACCGCCCCATCAGTCTGGACGGCGGCGTCGGCCGGAACTTCCGCCACGACTCCTCGTCGCTGGAAAGCGGAACGCCCAAGACAGGCGGCGCGACGTCCTCCTCTAGCCCGCAGCCTGGGTGACCAAGGCGGGCAACCCGGCGTTCTCCTCAGCCGGTGGGCCCGACGTGGGCTGCCCGGCGTTCTCTCCACTCTCACCCGGCGTGGGTGAAGCCTCCACCAAGGATGCCGTAGGCGCCGAGGTCGACATAGGCGGCGGCGCCACCAAGTCGTCGACAATGACGTCGGCGAGGAAGAAGGCGAAGCCATTTCCGAGGCGAGGCGAAAGGAGAGATTGGGGGAAGACGAAAAAGGCGAACGAGCCAGCGCAGCTGCGTGGCTCGCTCGCTGGAGCTTGTACCTACACACACACACACGTTACACAACAAAGTTCTAGCGGCATCCTGGAAATCCGGAGGTGCTCTAAGACGAATCGCTTGCTGTCATCTCGTCCAAATTCCTTAATTCGTTGACCTTCGTTTCAACTCCACTTGGGTGAAGGAGCCCACATCTTGGAGCGAGCGAATGACAAAGGGAGTGTTGGATGACTGGGTGTTGTAACGCACGTCCGGTGGGGAAATACTGAAACCCCAAATAAATAACTCGGGGCAAATGCCTCCGTGCATTGCTTCACAGACTGCTCAAGGAACCAAAGTATGATGAAATCAGGTCATTGCCGACCCAAGCAGTTCCATCTTCCTGCGATTCGGAAACTGCGGCAGACTCCAGCCACCACTTTTTGATTGCAGATCTGGCCAGTCTTGATGCCACCACCCTCGGATTGATGATGTCATCATGTCACGGCCTTGATCCTGTGCGCGTGGATCCTTCGTCAGACATCCCCCAGCCAGCAGAGCCTTTCGCTTAGACAATAACCGTGTGCCGTGTGCTGTCCCGTCGACAGAAAATCCGGCAACCAGAACGGTTGAAGTGGAGATCACGAATGATTCGGAAACCACGCAAGGTCATGTATGATTGGGAAACCAAGGCGTCTGAGTCAGAAACCTGCAGGGTGATTCGGAAACCCGACGGGTTACTCGGATTCCAGACAGATTGATTCGGAAACCAAGATGCTCTTGGGAGCGGATGCCTGGGTAGCATGAACGTTATCACCGTTCGGGCATGGATGCTATCGGTTCTGGATGCACTCGTAGCATATCGTCGGTTTCTCGTGCGCAGTTTCCCATGTGCACCGGTTGCGGCTGGGAAGTTCCGGCTTCCGACGCGCTGCTTCTGATGCGCGCCACTTCCCAATGCACAATGTCCGATGCACGCTGGTTTCCGATGCCCGCCAGTTTCCGGTTCAAGGGCCAGCTGTTGATTTTTGCACTTGTTCTGTGCCGCGCACCGTACAAGCATACAAAACAAATGCCGAACTGCCTCTCATGTTACTAAACCCATTGTCGCGAGCTGGGCGGGCCCAGGTGAGTCGATTCTCGAACCCCCATTGCCGTGACAGCCGAAGTTGCATGCAGTCTCCATTCAACCGGGCGGGCCTGGCTGATCGGACCAAAACCAGCCATTGCCTTGACAGCGAAGGCACAGAAAGCAGCAGCCGCCATGATGGTAGCAAACTGCTTCTGGCGCTCCTCCGTTGTAAGAGCATTGTGAACCGACAACGCAAGCTGCGTCACACCAAGTCCTGCAGCTGCTGCTCCAGAGTGAATGATGCAAGAGGGCGTCTTCGACCTGAGTCATCCCTGCCGGTGGCATTCCGCTATTACATGGCCGTTTCGAGGCTGGTGTACTATTCAATGTGCCGCATCAGGCTCGTCGCCCTACCTGTGCATATTTTTGCGCTTCAATGACCTCCTGGCCTTTGCCCAAAAGAGCAACTGCCACTTGGGGGAGATGCGGGAGAAGCGGTTGACCGTGAAATGCTGCTGTTTGTTCAGGCCACGCGGCCACCCGATCGACTGGAGTTCTTCTCAAGCTCGTAGTGCTCCATTCGCTGGAGATAGCGGTCTATGTCAGCCAGTGTCTTCTCTTCCAGTTCCTACGCCAACTGCAAGGGGCCCAACTTCTTCCTGTGGCTGAGACACGGATCTTCCTTGCAGCTTGCTCCTGGTGCGACAGCTCCCGCTTTGTTTTTGCAGCTTCAAGCCTGAGTCTCCTTTCCAAGGCTCAAAAGGTGTGCCGTTACACACTTCACACCTCGCACTGTTGCAACACCCTGTCCTGTGCTCAGCTTGTTCTGCCAGCTGGGCGCGTCTACGATCCGGCTGGAAGCTCCGCAAGCAGCTGGAGGACATGATCTGGGCTGCAGCGACCTGGACGGGTCGGGGAGGCGCAGGCTCGAACCTGAGCTCCATGTTGCTCGGCACCGCATCAGTCGCTGTGAAATGTGGCATTGTCTGATTACTGCTCAGCAGCGCTGGGTCCATTGCAAGAGGAGGCGGCGGCGGCTCGATTCGTCTTGCATATCCTGGGCAGTAACGAGGACGGAGAGTATACCAAACCACAGCACCAAAATTCGAATCCAAGCGCCGAAAGCATTCTTACTTGGCTTCCATGCTCAAGGCATCTGGGCAGCTGTAGCGAGCCAGGCGATATCGAAGATCCTCCCGAACATCTGATGCTTCCTCCACAAAGGCTTCCTGCTCGGACTTGCGTACAGCAGCAGGCTTTGGCACTCTACAACAGCGGGGTTGTCTAGTACTACACCTCGCCTTGTCTCCGTTGGATCTTCCTTGGAAATGCTCCACTGAACTCCTGATATCCTCAATTGAGGCCAAGGCCGCATTCGTTGCCTGCCCGCATGCGGAGCATCCAAGGCATCCAACGACGTGCGGCAAGCTTGCAATGTGTGCCAAGCAGAACCTGACCTCTTCTACGCTTGCAGGCGGGAGCAATGAGGTGGCATGCTTGAATGCCTTGAATGCGTGCAAGAACCGTGCAAAGCAGGTCTCGCTTGCAAAGACTTCAAGCTGCATTGCCGCCAGCTGCTGTTGCTCGCTTGGCCACCAGACCACCAGAAACCTGAGGCAGTGAACCTCAGAACAGAAATGATTAAAGTTTGGCGGGTTTTGAACTACCGAACGGATTCCTTGCTCCCAATGCCTCAGGCATCCTAGGCACCTGCATCCGCATCTTCTATGGACACCTTCCTCGCAGAGGACCCGACGCGGGCCTGGCCCTGGCAACGCAGCACACGGCGAAATGGCGTACCGGCGCAGCACCTCTGCCTTAAAAGCCGAGCCTCTGCGATCCTCGGCAGCACCGGATCAGATCGGATCCTCAGCTTCAGAATAGGAGCGACGTGACGTGCCGGCGGCGCCTCTGCGTCAAGGCTCTTCCGGAGGCCTTCTGAAGCTGCAGGTCGGCCCCAGTTTCGCTCGGACACCTCTCAACAAAAAGCTCAGCGAATTTTGCACATAGAACTTCCAACCTTCACGAAACCATTCGTGCCGAACATCGCGGCATGTCCCGAACCGCGGGCTGGCAACGGCATCCATCCGACGCAACTTCCAAAGGCACGAAAGGCTCTGCCACATCACAGTATCTCTCGACAGCTCTTCATGAGTCTTTGCTACTTCGTCACCCTTTTACGGTCAGATTAGCCTGAGCATGGTGGGTGACAGAACGATATGCTCGGCAGCTTGGGCGCGAAAGCAACAAAAAGCGACGTGACATGACGTGACATGACATCACGAAGTGTCCTGACCCAAACCAGTCATGAGCCTGTGCTTGCTCGGCTGCGTAGTTTCGGCATGTTTCGGCATGGACAGGCCCGGGCTACATTGAACAAGACTTCTCGCATATCTTGGGATTTTCCGAGAAGCCAACTCCTTTCAATCGGGCAAGTGCGAGAAATCCATCCTGTGCACAAAGCAAAAGGAGACTGCACGCTTGCGCACCGCGAAGTGGCCATAGTGGCCTTCTCCACAGCACAACCCGACCCAGTGAGTCGGCACTCGCCAACAGCGTGTCCTGGAGCCCAAGGCGCGTGGAGCCGACGCGTGCCGCGGATGTTGCGGCCGCGATGTGCCGCGGCCCTGGGCCTGGTGGTTGGTCGCCACTGCCACGACGGGGACCTGCAGTCAAAAAGCGGTTCATATCTTTTCACAACTGCAATGACGTTCTCGCTGCCTGGTGGTGCTTCAAGTAACTCATCTTGTAATTTGCACCCTTTGCAAGGGAGTAGATGTAGACCTAGACCAGGGTGCCAAGCGGCTTCATGTCAGCGACTTCGGCTGACACAGCTTGAAGTACGAATGGCTGCGAAGCTCTGTAAGTGGGCACCTCCTTGTCCTCAGATGCAGAAATGAGGTATCCCTGGCTGGACCTCAGGAAGCGACTTCATCCCGCAGTCCCTCCGAATGCTGGCAACGCCGGGAAGGGCCCGGCGGTGAATAGCAGCACTTTAATGGAAGCAGCGCATGAGCGACACGAACACCTGAGCTTGCAGAAGTCAGCTCGGATCAATGCTGATCCGCATTCAATGAATGCTTTGAAACTGCATTAAGGTCAACACGGTGCCTTACAGCTAAGTTCGTGAGCACCTCGGGGCTTCGTTGTGCTGGTGTCAGCTTAAAGCTGTAGAGTCTGTAGAGCTCTAAATGCACATCTCAGTGACCGACCCCGGGGGGAGGCCCGTACGTGCAATCAATGATGGACGCTGATGAGTCGGATGTGTTGACCTCAGACCAAGACAACGGATGCTTGTCTTCGTTGTGCAAGCACCAACACGAGCAGCACGACTTCTCAAAGGGCGTCGCCAACAGGCAAGGCGGCTGGCCATGGGCTGCAGGCACGAAGACCAAGCATGTCACTCCTGAAGGTTGCGTTCCACAACACGCACCGCATCCGACATGCTGTTCGCCTTGACAAGCTCGGACACGCAGGCACGAGGTACAGTGTGCAAACAGGGCACGGAGCCTTTTCCGATCCTCCGTTGGTGCATAGATGATGTCAATGCAAGGAAGATGTTAGGCGCAAACTGAAACTAGGCAAGCCCTTTGCTGCGGTCTACAATGTGTTCCGTGATGGCACGGATGCTGGGGTAGTCAAACATGAGGGCGGCTGGTAACGACCCGATGCCAGCGAATTGTCTGGAAAGTTCATTTCTGAAAGCCACTGCGGACAGACTGTCCAGGCCGGATTCCATTAGTGGGGTATCCAGGTGCACCTCCTCATCTCCACCAGCAACTTGCTCCACAACATGCTGTAGTTTGCTTTGGACCATGTCCGGATCAAGTCCTTGCGCTACTGGCGCTGCAGAGGCTGCGCCTGGCACACCGCCAGTATCCGGACTTGCAAACATAGCATCGGGGATCTCTTGCTGCACTTGCTTCTGGACTCCTTTGATGAGCTCCATGACTCCAAGGACGCGGCCTTCGACCTTGCCATCCTCAGCCCGCCGAGCCAGGTCAAGTGCCCTGTTTGCAAGCTCCAAAGCCTTGGACTTATTGCCCATAGTATTTGCAACTTCTGCCGACAGACAGACTGCGCTGGCCTGGTCACCCACAGCACCACACTCCCGGAACATGTCCTCCGCCTTTCGGCAACAAACCAAGCCCTCCGTGCCACGGTTCAGGATGGCCAGCCCATGTGCCACGTGGGTCAAGGCCGTCGCCTCTGAGTACGGATCATCGTTCTTCTTTGCGATGTTCACTGCCGCCCTGGCCCTCTTGACAGCCTCATGAGCTGAGTTGCGTAGATTTCGGTTGGCTTGTATGCCCTGCTGGCTTTCCCCTTGCTTCCTTCCCTCAAGCTGCTGCAACTCCTGCCCGTGCTTGTCACCCTTGCGAAGGCTGGATGATGCCAAGAAGTGAAGGAGGGCCGTCTCACCACGGATGTCTTCGATTGCCTTGCAATATTTCTTGGCGACCAATGCTAGTTTGACCGCCTCTCTTTCATCATCCTTGGCCAAGTGTGCCGCGGCCAGCTTTCGCAGAGCATCTGCATAACCCTTCTTGTAGTCCAGGTCTTTGCAAATGTCTTTCGCTTCATCTGCACAGTCTATGGAAGAGTCTGGGGCCTGATTCGACAAGTGAGTGTCCGCAAGGCTCAACAAGGCGGCTGCAGCTCCTCGTCTGTCACCGGATTCGAGCAAAAGGGACTTTGCTTCCGACAACTTGCCAACTGCAGCTCCAAACTCCCCTTTTGCAGAGTGAACATTGCCGATAGCTGTGAGGGCAGCTGCCTCCAGCCGCCTGTCCTCCGTCTCTTGCGCGGCACGTAGGGCTTCTTGGGCAGTTGTCGCAGCATCATCATTCTTTTGATCGGCGATCTGGGCATTAACCAATGCGACTGTTGCCAGAACCTCACCCTTCTTGTCCTGGATGTCATCTGCCAGCTGTTTGGCCTCTTCCGCAGCCTCTTTTGCGGAAGATGCCTTTTTCTGAGCTGCATGTATTGCTGATAGCGTAAGCAAAGAATTGAGTTGGCTCTGCTTGTCGCCGAGCTCCTTCAGGATTTCCAGCTCCTGATTCTGCTCCGACGCTGCCAAGTCGAACTCATGCCTCTCCTGGCGGACAAGGGCAAGAGCACCGTGTGCCGATGCCTCCGCTCGCTTGTCGCCTTTGGTTTCATATTCCTCCATCGCACCTTCCGCTTCTTTCAAAGCGCGCTTGAGATCGCCGCGCTGAACCAGCGAGCTCACCAGCAAGTGCAAAGCACTGCCTTCACCCTTGGATTGCTGCATTCTGCGGCACACTGCCAAGGATCGCTCTGCAAATTGAACAGCGGGCCGACTCTTCTCCTTGAAGACATGAACCTTCGCCAAGAGCTGCAAGGAGTTCACTTCGAGTTTTGGGCTGCTCACTTCCTGTGCGATTTCGAGAGCGGTGTGAGCTGTACTCAAAGCCTCGGCTGGACGCCCTGCATCCATTTGTGCCATGGCCAGCCAATTGCAGCACCTTCCCTCGCCGATCCTGTCCCCAGCTTCCTTGGAGAGGGCTATTGCCGACTGTGCAGAAAGAATGGCATCCTTGGACTGGCATCGACGGAGCTGTGCTCGTGCTTGGAGCAGGTTGGCCAAAGCTTCCAGTCTCTTGTCGCCAGCAGCCCGCAGCAGTGGCAAGGCTTCCTCAATGCTGCTCAGGGCCTCGCCAGCCAAGGCCTTGGCTAACTGGCACTCTGCCAAAGCAAGCAACATGCAGCCTTGGCCCCGCTTGTCGTCGTCTTCTCGGAAACTCCTCAGCTCCGCCTGGGCTTTGTCGATGGCAAAATCTGGGGACTGCTTCAGGCGTTCGGCCCCGCACAGCAGGCGAACTGTGTCCTGCTGTCCGGCCTTGCACGCTGCTTCGCGAAACAGCTCTAGCGCTTGGGTACCCTTTTGGAGTGCCTCTTCCACCTCCTCATCTTGCACGTGGCTCTCTGCCACGGAGTAGAGGAGAGCTGCCTCTCTAACTTTGGGGTTTTGGTTTTTGTCCTCGGCCAGCTGGCTGTAATAAGACGCGAGGCCATCAGCCTCAGCTTCTAGGAGCTTCTTGGAATTTTCATCCAGCCGGCGACGCTGCACCTGCTCCTCGTTCTTTGCCATGGTGGCGGGCCCCTGCCCCTGTCTTGAGGATCGAAATGTCAGTCTCCTCGGCACCTGGTGATAATTACGGTGCCTTGATCACACAGCTGCGGCAGGCAAAACCCCGGCAATGTGGACTTTAGGAATAAGCGGCTTTGCTCCGTTCCACCTTCATGGCCTGCTGCCTTTTCAAGACTCATGTCATACAAAAGGCAGAGCTTGTCGGAGCCTCCCCGTGCCAGCTGCACCTTGAACTTGAACTTCAAAGTGCTGGCATCTGTTGCCTGAAATTCTGCTGCATGGATCCTTCCCAGCCAATCTCCAAGGCACACAGACAGGAAGCAAGCCTCCAAGACATGGATGGAACCACTTTTCGTGCCAGCCTGGCAAGTGCCAACACCTTGCTTTGTCGGCTGCCCTGCTGCGGGAGTTTACTCAGACGGTGGCCAGAAGGAATAGGCCCGTATCGTCGAACTTCAAAGTGCGCACTTCGGTTTCGACCTGCAGAACCGCTGACAGTCACATGTCCTCCGAAAGAGAGGCCACCAGTGGCAGGCTTTGGGTGCCTTTGGGTCTTGGCATGTCTTGGCATGGTTCATCATTCTTGCCTTGAGCTTCTGCAGGACCATGCCATTCTGCACGTTCACGAGCCGCAGGACGGCATTCGAGTTGGCTGCAACAAAAACCTGACATGAAAACTCCGCGGAGGCGGGGCGGACCAAAACTCACAACATCCAATGAAGCCTGCGGATTGAAAGGCAGGAAAGCAGCCACTGGCACTGGAGAAGAGTCTGTGAAAACCTGCGCCATGGCAGATGGCACAACGAACAAGCAAGTCAACACTGCCTTCAACATCTCCCCGGTGTCCACGTTCCAGAAACGCACTGACTTGTCAATCGATGTTGTGACCTTTCAAGCACACACGGCTGGGCATCATCATACTCATACTCAGTCAGCGAAAGAGACGGTGGGGATGTTCACCGCATGAACCAGACCGACTTCGAAGAGTCATACCAGAATATGGTTGATCCACACCCGTGGCTTTGAAGGAAGCTTCGAGGGCGGCACTAGCTGGTCCTCCAGTAGATTGAAGAAGACCGAAGTAATTGCACGGGAATGGCCGACAAGCCGAGAATGTACCTTAAGTGAGCGTCCCAAAGCAAACTAGAAGCTGCGGCTGCGCTGCCATCGATTGCCCCTGGGCCATCAGCCGCGATGTTGGAATGATCAGGAGGAGGCGCTGCCTGTGACGAGACTGCCCACGTTCAGACTTACGAAAAAACAGAGATTTGACCAGGGCTCAATCGTTGTCTCCCCGGAAGTCTTCCGCGGCCAGCATTGCAATCTCCATTTCAGTCCTGTGCTGCTTCAAAGGAAGTTTTCTCGTCAGAAGCGGAACCACTGTTTCAGTCCTGTAGCATCGGTATACCACGACTGTACCATCTTTGGATGCTGTGACGAAGAGTATGTACCTGGACTGCAATACCAGTGCCAAACTGTGAGGCTTGAGCGAACTGGGAGTGCTTCTCCAGATAATGCAGGTGTGGCAATCTCATACTACCATGTTTATAGCCGCCAGCCCAACTCACAAATAGGTTGGCATGAAGTTCAGCCAACCCATCGCTTGGCTTTCAAAGCAAAAGCAGAGTTTGATGACCTCGCTTGAAACTCATGGATCTCTGTACAGGTTCACCCGTAGGCTAAATTGAGTGTCCACAAGTCGAGAACGACTGCCGCCATTGCTGCGACTGTGAGAGCAATGCACAGTTCTCAGCACTCTGCCAGCCCATGCAAGCTCGCCATTCTGTGCATACCAGTTCCTGGGTCCCTCCAGCTTCAGAGTCATCCCAGCAGAGACTTGGTACTTCTACGTTAATTTCGTTGATTTCTGGGAATCGCAGTTCAAATGTGTCGAAAAACCTGATCTGCTGCCTTGTGTTCAAAGCATCAAAGCGGCGCGACGCTGCAATGCCCAACCATGGCTGTCAAGCCCTTGTGTCATTTCGTCAGCTGTCATCTTGAAGCTGTAAGCAGTTCCACGATTGCGTCAAATTCCGGCGTCCATCCTGCATCTCAGCCCTTGAACAAATCCGGTCAGAATGCGTGAAGGCATCCATGGGCTACTCGCAGTCCTTGAAGTCGAGCATTAATGCGTAGAACCTTCGGTAGTCCACAGCTGCAGCCAAATACTCCTGGTAGTTAGAGTCTTAGAGTGTGGTCAAGACCCGAACAAACTGCTGCTTGAGACCTGCTCTTCTTCACTGCGACCCTTTGTGCAGGTGAGGCTCGAAATACTGAAATTTGGAGTTGCCTTCGTTTCGCTTCCGGAAGCCTCAACGATCGACTTCGTGCACTGCCAAATGCCAAGACTTGAAACCCACTAAGCCTACCAACAGCAAATGAGTGGCACTCCTCCACCGCCTGCTCTGCTGTCACGCCTTCATTCTCTAGGAACTGATCCGTCCTTCTTCGCATCATTGCTTCGTACTCCTGACGAACACAGAGGATGCGACTGCGAGTGCCCTCGCTTCGTGCCGCTCCTTGCCTCATCAAAATTCCTTGAACGCTCATGTCAGCAAAAGATATGTTGCAGCAGCTTTTGCAGCCCGACCCAATCCCGCTCCTGAAAGAGGTTATGCCACTCGTGCGGATGATCCTCCCAGCACTTCGGTAGGAATTGGTTCGGGAATCGCAAAGTTGCCAGCGGCTGTCTTTGAGAGTTTCTTCCTGTGTCAGCTTGCAGCTGTATTATGTGCCCGAATCAAGTAAAAAGTGTAAAATGCGTTATGACGACCTACACCTCCACCAGTACCTCCGCATGCAAGCTTACAGAAGCCCTTCCACATCTGTGGAAACTGTGACACTTGTTGCAATATGTGGAGTAAAAACACAGCGATTGGAGATGACAGAATTTCTGGACGAACCGACTCAAAATCCGTACAAGTTAGTAGGCAGTCCGGCTAGCCAGTTTGGCGTGGTTGGTGGCGCGGGTGTGGAGAAGGGCACGAAGCTCAAATCCCACCCGGAACGAATCGATGGAAGTACCAATTGGATCCGCCGATTCGCCACAGTTTGGCAGGGGGTCGGGTGGCAGTGCACCTTCTTAAACACGAACCTGCGATCCATCTGAAGTTAAGCAGGAATTCCGCAGACACATCAAACAACAAAATGAAGCCTGATAACAAGCAAACCAGCTTTTGGTATCTTTTGGTTGGGTTTGGTGTGGTGGCGAGAAGGGGAAATTCCGGGCAACGTCGTTGCAAGAGCTTCTGCGATGAAACTGAGAGTTGCGGGACCTCTACGCACTTCTGCCTAGTTGGGTTGTGGTAAGTTTGGTGAGAAAGCCATACGAGAGTACATGCTTGAAAGCTTAACAGGCTTAACAAAAACCTGGATTCTTGAAATGCCAGGGTGCATGCCGAGGTGATCCCGGCCCCACATCTTCAAAGATTGGGGCATGTCTTTGTGCAAAGGCATTGATTTCCATGAGGCACGAAGCTGAGAGCAAGTAGTCCTCAAGTCCTTACAGCCAGGAGTCGAGAGCAGCAGGGAGGAAACATAAAGAATGATCCTCGGGACTCAACTGCTTCAGCGTCTGTTCATGCCCACCGAACCTATCCTTGTCCATAAATCCGGCTCCCTGGGGCAAAGCCTGTTTGGGGCGTGTTTCGGCAAGGGTCTGTATGCCAGCGATCCATCGTTAATTGGTCCCGGCGGGTGGGCATGCGAGTGCATCTCCAAGTGGGCGACGTCCACCATGGCCGAAGCCTTTGACCTGTGGGCAGCCTCCAGGACTCTTGGGCCAAAGATGCGAAAAGACACCTGATAGCAGACCCTTCGGAAAGCCACATGCATTCAAAGGGTGCAAGGTCTTGGGAGAATCTCACCAAGCAATTCTCACTGAAGCAGGGGCACGCCCTGTGCAGCCTTTCTTGGCCAAAACCTCGAGCGAGCAGAAGCAAGGCCCACTTGGCTTCCCTGCTGTCGTGAGTCCCGGGCATACACATGTGACTGCGGACTCCGAGTCCTGGAAGGGCTCGAACATGTCAGAATGGAAAGAGACTGCAGTCGACCCCGAGCCCCATAGAACTCACAGAACTTCATCGCATCCTGCAACTCTTGAACAGGCTTAAGATCTGCGTTGGGGTCGACATCACGTTTAGCCTCCGGCAGCAGGATTTGTGCCGAATCAGAACGAATGTTGGCTGTGTGCCTGGCCTGTTTCATCGCCTTAGTGCCCTTCAGGGATGCTCGCAGAACTCCAGCGGCCTTTCGAACAAACATGCTCGTGCGACTCGTTCGCTCTCGTCTTTCTGGAGGAAAGAAAACATGGCCTTGCCACCCTTCTCTGGCGCTGTACCGAACCAGGACCTAAAGAAGTGTGATGAAAGCTGCCGCCCTTCGAGATGATGTTTCCAAAGGCCGCGGCTTCACGGAGTCAATAGCTGCTGAGATCGAGCTGCGTTTTTGCCTCAAAGCGTCTCGATCTCTACCCTTCCGATTCGAACAAACCTTTCCAGGACAAGCGAAGGCCCCTGCGCATCGTCAGAAGTTGCTCCATCGGGAGCCGCATCTGAACCGCCAACAGTCTACAAAACTTCAACGAAAATCCCAATGAACCTTCTGCTGGCGCTTGCGTCTCGTCCTGGCTGGCAGCAAACCTTCGAGAAGGCAAGCACACATGCGCTGTCAAGAAGCATCCTGGCACTTTCCCGCACCTAGCCCAGTCCGACAACGAAATGCCTTCGCCCACATATGCCTCGGAAGACGTGACCAAACCCTTGCTATGTGAAATCTAGAAGATGCATCAATACTTTTGTGACCGTGGCTGGGTGTCGCACACCAAGCTGAGTGCCCTTATCGTGAGCTTCCTGCAAGTTCACCTGTGCCCGACGACCCACTGCCCATGAACCTGTGTAACTGAACCGTAACCGAACCAGTCCTATGCTGCTCCGCAGGAGCACAGTGTACTAGCCAGCAAGAAGTGCATCAACATCGGTTCCCGCACATATTACACCTGGTACCTCGATGGCACGGGGCACATAACCTGTGAGCGATTGTTGCAAGCAAAAAAGCGGTCGGAATGCTTTGTGAATCCCAGGGCAAAAGCAACAGCCTTGAACGGCACCTTGCTTTTGCTGTATGGCCCAAAGGTGTGTATGTATGTATATAAACAGATGTATATATGTATGTATATATGTATGTATATATACATATGTAGACATACATACACATACATATACATATACCTGTACATATACAGATACATGCACATATACATATACAT